GTCCATCCATCACTTACAAGGGGCCAAACAATCTTGATGCCCTTTGGGTAGCACACCTCCCTGTCTTCCTCCAAGAGGGATACTCTGAGCCAGTGTAAGGAATGTGGCCAGAGCCAAGCTCACAGAGTTTCCCCAGTTCCTCCTCTTTACTGTCATGCATTTGCTTTTAAACTCACAAAATGTTCCTTGGGGACAAAGGCATGGCAAGAACCTGTGAACTGCCCTACTCCTCCAGCCTACTCACATCGATTTTCTTTTGCCTCTGGCTCTAGTACACAGCATTTGGTCTCTGATTGTTCATTAAACTCACACTCTCATTTTTAAGTGTCCAGAAAGCAATAGGGAAAACTTTTCCTTCTTTTATTCCAGGGCTCAAAACAAAATGAAAGAAAAAATACCTCTGGCATTAATTTTGTACAGGTAATTGTCATTACAATATTCCTATTAGCATGTTCACATGCTTGACAATATTTCAGATGGTATTAAAAGTCCACCTGCAAAAAAAACTATTTTTCTGTCAGGCTGGTGCAAATTGCCAGAACCTTTAAGCCACTCTTCCTCAACATAGCAGCAGTATATCATCATTACCTGTGGCTGAACCAAGAAATCACATTTGTCAATGCCTGAATTGCTCTTTTATTTTCAATGGTCTTAGAAGCCCACTTGTTTTGGAAATGGAGTTAGTTAGCTGAGTATAAGTTAGGGGATGCAAAAATACAAAAAGCAATGGCTGGAGATTTGGGGGATATTTAAGATGCTTTATTTTCTATAGCTAGTTGATCTCTGCTAGACTATCTTGTGAGGCCAAATGAGATACAGTCATCTTGAACAAAGACCTGGTAAGGTTCTGTGATCATGGAAGCCTATCAGGAACCAATATGCTTCCTTTTGATCATTAGGAGAGTTTAATCATATTAATATTAACAGTTGAAATAAATTGGATTTTTTTATATTTCAGCTTTGCATATACTCTCTTATTAGTCTACACTAAGTCCTATAGTAAATTGAGGAACGGGGAAACCAAGGCTAAATGACTTGCTCAAGGTCACAGAACTAGTAAATGGCAAAGTTAGAACTCAACACCAGATTTGTCTCCGGATCCCATGGTCTTAACTGTTATGCTATTTTGATTATAGCTTGGAGAAAATTTGTATGACTTCTGATAAAGTGATGTTTGCTTAGACAAATAAAGTATAAGAATAATGCTGTGCTGTTTTCAGTTCTTCACTTGAAACAATTTTTACTCCTTTGGGACTGTTAACAAATTTAACATCCTCAGATATACTGATGTCTATTGGAGAACATATTCAAGGTTCAATTTGCTTTTCTTGCCTTTCTTCCTCCATTTCCTTTTCCTTTTACCTTAAATGAATTCACCCAAATATAGAAAATGTGAGGTAGTTCTGCACAAAGATGCTAGGTGTATGAACCAGTTGGGCTTTAGGAATTGCAATTCAGAATGTTCTGCAATTTGCAATTATGTAACTCCACAGTGCATAGAGTACATGTCTCCAGGTGGTGAAATACTTGATAGCAAAGCCGATCATCCCAATGATAATGACCGTAGGAATCCAACTATCTGAAAAATCTCAATTCTTTACCTCAAATGGAAGAGAATAAACAGAAACACAATACAACACACACACACACACACACACACACACACACACACACACACATGTATTTTAAGTTGAATATACTGTGACTAAGATGTTTTCCAAGATCCAGTCCCATGTAAGTGAATGTCAGATTTATACAAGTAATTTAAGAACTATTTGAATATCTCTGTACAATTGAAGTATCTCTAAGTGTGTTTAAGAACTTCAGTCATTATATATTTGTTGAATTAGTAACACATTTATACCTCTTTTTAATGCCATTATGACATAACTTCCCATAAAGCCATTCTTTCATGAATACAGTTTTATTTTCTGTTAAAGAATTGATTTCACTCTTTATTTAAAATTTCATACTGGTTGCTATATGAAATGTACAAATGAATGTCATTAAGGATTTAACAAGAACATATATGAATTTGATGAGGTTTGTTCCGCTTTTGGAGTAGTCCTCTGTATGAAATTCTCATATGCTGAAGGTTGTTTGCTATTCAATTAATCTAGGGAATGGGGCTCGGGGCAAATGAACTCATTCTCATGCACATGTTTCTAAAACAGTTCTTACTAGTGTTTGAGATAAATTAGAATAAAAACCAACAAGAACATGAAAAGAGACTAAGAACAATGTTAATGGGGCAATTTAACCCAATTTGGTTTTCCAAATGACCTTCCGTCTTTCACAACTATTATCCTTAGTACCAGATGCTATCAATCTGGTATTGAAAACTTAAAATATTTTTCTAAATGTCTTTAAAGCTAAGGTGGAGAAGAATGACTCTCTTATTTTTGGAAGGGTTAAAGGTTGAATTGTGGCTATGCTGTTCTCACACCATATCACTTATTGATCAACATAATTAACCCTTTTTTCTAGCCTGTACCATGTCCCAAAATGATTTCCAATGGTACTTTATGTCTCAAGAGAGACTAGGTGGCAGGCATAGGTATATTTCAGAGGGCCAAGAGCCCTATGTTTTTGAAGGGAACAAATCAACATAATTAATTAATTTGGCTCAAATATAACCCTGGCAATTTGGATTTTGGTTGCTTCTAGTTCTGCCTTGCCTGTTACTAAGAATTTGTAGCTTTATTTTTATTATTAACCTCACAAGACATTTCCACTGTGAGTAAATATAGTAATGAAGGTCATGGCTGTATTTAATGTTATAACCAAAAACGATAGAGACAGAAAACCCCAATGTAACAGAATTTATTCAAGGAGAATCTGGAACAATCCAGTTGTCATGTGAGTATAGTATTCCATTTGAGTATAGTATTCCATTGTGCTTAAAACTTTAGAAGGTGAATGACACTCCTCACCCTATCTATTAACTGTGGGGTAGAATTCAGAGTTAGTGATATAGGTTCTTTTCAGGAAAGTGCATGGTTCTTTTCTGTAGAAACATCAAAGAATTTACCTAAATTTATTTCAAATTAATAGAATTCTAGGTTTGCAGATCTACCAGGGAGAAGCATTATAATGATCAGTAATCAGTAGCTATATTAACAGGTAAAACTAATTTCTCTCTCTCACTATGTGCCTACTGAAATACCAACAGGTTAAGTTGCCTTGCCTGTCACTCACCTCCCCCTTCCTTTTTTTTTCCCTCTTTGGTAAGAAATGAAATTATCCACTGCAAGTCAAAATTATTAATTATTAATTGTTCTTTCTCTTCAGTTTTCCTTTGATGTGCTAATATGTTATGTTTTATGCCACCCAGAGAGGACTCCATAGTGTAGGCTGGAAGTACATCCAAAGTTGCCTCTTCTGTAGCCTTTCTTGTGTTTTTTTTTTTTAAAATTTGAGGATAGTAATGATAATGAATGATCATCTTAAAATAATTTGTTCACTGAAGAAATGAATGGGGAGCCAATATCCCCCAGTATCGCTACCCTTTTCCATCCCATCCCCCCATACATGCAAGCAGAATAAAGGTCCTAGTGAGTCACACATGGATTCTTCTCAAGTGATGATAATTCCTATATAGAGATGGCCCTACAATTGAAATGCCATGCATGCTCTGCTCACTTGGTCTGATGCTATATTAAAACTTAATATTCTTTCTGGCTTTCAGACTTCTTTGTAAATTGTTTCCAGGCCACCTGTTTTGAGATTTTTATTTCATTTTTTAATATTGGTAATTTGCAATGGAGTTCCCTAAGTTCCAATATAGGGCTATGAATCAAAAGTGATGAATTACAATTCCCTAGTTTCTGCAAGATCAATGTGAGGTTGGCTGACGAGACAGAACAGTTCCCAAAGCATGGCTTCATTATTTTGCTATTTGAAGCATATTCATTAAGGGCGAATCTCCACAACACCACTCTCCAAGTCTCTCCTAATTAGAGAAACCATCCAGGAGTAGCAATAACAGTTACCAAAGGAAGAGGGGGAGATGCTAGCCATTAAAAGCATTATGTTTTAGCCTTGAAACTAATTAGATATTTCATGTTTGGAAGAAGTGTTCCTAACAGGCTTTATGAATGGATGTTTGTTCAGGAAGAGATTCTCATAGAAAAAAAGAGAAAGGGTGGGAGGGAGAGAGGAAGAGAGAGAAAGAAAGGGAAAGAGAAGGAGGAAGGACTAGGTAAACTTACAAGTCAGCATCTCTCATAGTAATGAGATATAGGTGCTAAAAGTCTGCATTAGCTATATCATTATACTTATATCTGTCTTTATATCCAGATATTTATTTGGAGTTCCTCTTTTTTAAAAAAATATGTAATGACCTGGGACAAAGAGAGATCTAAAGAGTCACCTTTACTCCCCTACCTATTTAACACAGATGAGGAAGTGCCTGGGTATCCTTTATGGAATTAGCCATCTCCCTCACACATAAGTGCTGATTTTGTCATCTTTGGCTTCCCTCTGCCAAAGGGTACAGCTGCTGCAGATGCTTGAGAAGGGGAGATGGGGGAAGGACTCAGCCCAGGCTTCTGAGGCCGATGAGGTAGAGTTATGGTGGAACATGTGTGACTGAGGGGATGAGTGTCCCCTGTCACATGTGACATTGATCTGGCAGGTGAATTACTCACAAATCAAAGAGATCCCCTTGCCTAAATTGGCCTGGTTACAGTGTGGTTGGAATAAGACAGAAAGAGTGAAGGTAAACCTATTTCTGTAAGTGGCCATACCTTGCACTGGTCCCAAACCCACTCCACATGACCAAACCATGGTGGAGCACAGCATAGCCGAAACTAACCTGACCCCAAACCTATCATCCGAGGACAGAGTGACTTCAACTCCACCTCTACTAAAGATAAATTGAGATAAATTGATATCTATCTCTAAAAACTTCATAAAACAAACCAAAAACCTAGGATGTTTTTTTTAATGACTTATTGACTTTTCAGATTGTTCTTTAAGCTGTTTTTTAAACTTTAAAGGCAACACTGATAATGAACGCTTCCAAATGGTAAAACAGAAAATCCCCTTCAAATATAACCGACCCGTAGAAGAGTGGCTGCAGGAAAAAGGTAACCGTCGTTAAAACTTTCATTTTAAAATCATTTGATTCTAAACCCTCATTTTTAAAGCCTGCAAATAAATGTTCCTTAAATGATAATCGCCTGCTGCATAAATGACTGTTTTAATTTTCATTATAATTTGTGTCAGCTTCCACCTGCCATATGTTGATAAATCATGCTATAATACATTGCCATTAAAATACAGTTAAAGGGACTAACATCTAGCCTGCTATCAGCATGACAGCCACAAACAAGAAATTTCAGGAACCTCTAAAAAAAAATGTATTATGGCAATTTAACCACTGCATGACATTATTTGTTAATTTGTTTTAAATTACCTCTTACACCGAAGCTTTCTAAAGAAATTTCAAAAGTACTTTTTAAACTCATATCTCGAGGCTGTTTTGATTTTCCTAGTTGTAGCATGGTTAACCAAAAAACCATAGATCCACTCTTAGTAGCTTAAACTGCTTAAAACAAATGCTATAAGGGAAGCATTGTGTTTTAACGTTTGTTTTTAAACAAAGAAAAGAATGAATTTTGCTTTTGCATTCAAACCTGCAGAGGCAAAAAAAAATTTTTGTTCTGTTTTATTTTTTTTATAAGAGATTCATTGCATCCTAGTTGCTGACAGAAACCAAAACAAAACGAGGTTGCTTTACACTTTTGTTGTGTGATACCTTTGTGTGTTGAATGTTTTATGCAACGAAAGTGTAAGTGGTCAAGACAACGAGTTGGAAAGAAAAAGACTGCACAAGGCAAAATAGCAGTTTCTAATTTGCTGAAGGAAAACAACCACTCAATAAAAGAGGGCAGCGGATATAACTCATATTAGAATTTTCTGTGTGGCTTCTCTTGCTTAGGAGATGAACCAGTGTTTTTCAATGAAGAATATCATCTATCTCTGAGGAGCTATGTACTTTATTTTTTCTTGAGCTCTCCTGTCTCAAGACCTCAACCAAGCCCTTACAATTTGCAGAGATTTGATGGACTTGCATATGAAGAGCAACTAGGGATATTATGTGGTATGCAACTTAAGCAACAAGAACTACTGCAGCTTTAAGATGGGTGAACACATTCAGACCTTTAAAAAAGATAATCCTCACCAGGTCTTAACTGTTTGCCCTGTTTTGAAACAAAAAAAAAATGTGGTCTAATTAAAAATAAATTAAGAATAACTCTAAAAAGCATATAATAATTTTGTTTAGTAATCACCAGCTCATAAAGTCCCTTTAACATTAAAGACAATGACTGCCTCACTTTTCCAAAGGAAGGGAGAACTGGATGCATGTCTGAGTCTCATGTGCCTGAGAGAACTTTTTTGTTTCTTTCAATTTTATGTTAATAATATTTTATTTTACTCCATTGCCTTTTGAAGTCTAAGTTTAATAGCATGCCAGGCATTTTCATTTGTATAAATCATTATAAATTATTAGTAGGCTTTGAGTTTTTCTTATGATAACATCATTATCAGTTGGCTTTCACTTAGAAGGATGCTTCAGATACCCAAATTGAGGGTTGGGATGGGGGAGGCATGGATGAGGTGGGAAGGAGGGAGGCATTCTACTTTCTTAATCAAATATACATATGGGTTCATGTATGCAAATAATATTAAACAGGCTCATTTGCAAACTGAGGTTCCCCGTCTATCAGTTATTTTCACTGGTATTCCTTATTTTTTCTAATTTGGGTAAGTAACATCTATTTATTCTATTACTTTACCTCTTCCTCTGCCTAGCTAACTTCCCTTGCAAAAAGGATACAAGGTCTTCCCTGAAAGACCTTGTAGAGACAATGACAATGAATACGAAAGGTAAAGATGGAAGGATGATTAGACAGACACTTCAGGAAGTACTTGGAATGTCTCTGGAATTATTTCTATCACTGGGGGAAGAGATTTGGGTCATAGCATTCCCAAGTCTGTTTCCGGCTCTGTCTACTATTGACTGAATGTCTGACCTTAGACGATCCACTTAACCTCTTTATGTCTCAGATTTCCCATCTGAGGAGAGGAGAAATAATACTGCCAATTCCCCAAGGGTGTTCTGAGGTTTAATTAATTAGTCTTTGTGCAACACTGACTGGAGACGTTCAAAGTATTTAATTTAAGCGTATGTGGACTTGTCGAAATGAGGTAACAATTAATGACTTCCAAGAAGATGAGCACCTGAAACAAAACAAAAAGTAACTCCTCTTTTGATATCACAGTCATAATTTTCACAGTATTCAGTCTAGAATGTGTGTGTGTGTGTGTGAACACATGTATGTATTTGTGTATGTGTACGCATGTTTGTTTATAAATGGTCATCTAATAAAAATTGATCAGAGGAAGTGAAAACAGTGTGTAAAAAGAGATCTGCCATTGCTTTTGAGAAATGCAGGACAAATGATGAAAGGTAATCTTTCTTGTCGGTCCTTCCCATCCTTCATGGGTTGGCGTATTAATGACATTTCCCACTTATCCACGAGCTCCTGCTTATCAGGGAGAGAGAAGTCAATCAGAGGAAAGGTCAGCAAGAAACTAAGTATGTTCCACTTTTCCAATGGTGTGAGGGGAAACTAAAGCATAGGCAAACTCTTCTTTCTCACCCCCACCCCAAATGACTTTGTTTCCGAAAAGGGATTAGTCAAAACCCTCTGGAAAGGCAGTGTAAGCCAACAGTGAAGCAGCTATTTAATCTTCATGTCCCAAATCATGTCTTGCCTTTCCTAATTCTTGGGTTAGTCTCAAATAATCATAGACCACTTGATGGAGCAAACTATAGCAAATGGATTGAAGGTAATCCATCATTTCCAGCCAACTTAATTCAGCACTAAATTTCAGTTTCCTCTGGTCCTCTTCTTATTTGTAAGCATTGGCAGAATGAATATTTCCAGGAAAATAAGTTGAGAACCATTATAGGGGTTATCATTGGGAAGTACTGTCAAGAATATTAGAATATAGAGCCTTGAACCTATGGTCAAAGCTACTCAACCACTTACTAATCACCAATGCTGGATTTTATATGAGAGAGAGAAAGAGAGAGAGAATGAATGAGAATATGAACAGGCAACAGCTGTATACATGGAAGAGCTACTTGACCCTGGGGCCCTCTAGGGTAAGATATTTCACCCTAGAAATCTTCTATTAATCAGCTTCTTATGATGTATTATGTTTAGCTGTTTCAAATGCCTATGAGAGATCAGGGTACTACATCTCCCCTCCTATTATCCTATTTTTACTATAGTAAGTTTTGGGCTCTCAGGAAAATCTGTTGTCAAGAATAAACCATAAAGATATGTGAACTCTAGACCACCACCCTCTATTACTGTGCTTGATGCATGTATATACAAGACACGGAAGTAATTGATTGGGAAATAATGGAGATCTATTAGCTTTGTTCTGGTTGCACCCTTGGGATGAGGAAAATTCTGCTATTGTGGAGGCCAGCAGATGCCCTCTCTATGCTGCAGAGATTTTACAAAATACAGAATATTCTCACTGTAATAAAGTTCTCTGATCAATTCTTCAACCTCCTAAATGGGCATTATTTATAAATGATTCTTGAGTAATAGGACTTAGGAGTTGCCCTAATGAGCAGAGTTGACTCTTGTCTGAAGAGTACCCTCTGAGCAGTACATGCTTACCCTTCTCTGCCTCCTCCTTGTCTCATATTAGTGTACAATGAGAAGGTATTCCATATTATACACCAGAAATTCAAGGGTGGCATAGCCTTTAAGACTCTGTGATAGTGGTAGCTGTTAAGATTCCAAACATCAAAATATAATACTATTCTTAAGTTAGAGATTGTGCAACAAAAGCCTTAGCCTTTTAAAACTACATTTTTTAATGAAACACACAAGAATAACAAAATTGTTTCCAGTTATTTTTTACTAAAACAACTTAGGTGATTAGATTAAGAATGAATGGAACATTGTTTGATCACCAAAAAAAAAAAATTCAGAAGGGATATATCTAATTCCATTAACAAGTATCTTTTTTGTTCCCTTTCTACATATGATAAAACAGAAGGAATCAGTCTAAAGAAACCAAGAAGGCCTTAGCATGTTGCTATCATGATAAATTACAATGAGTTTTCAAAATCTTTTTTTTCCCTTCTAGGAAAGATCTAACTTGAGACATTAAAAAAAATAAATACAAATAGTTGGGAGTAAAATTTGTTGAATTCCATGATTCTATACTCTATTCCATCATGATTTTATTCTAATAGTTTTTTTCCACAGAATTATAAATAGTCCTCAAATAGAAACTCTAAATAAAGTAAACCACAGATATTCTTCCTCCCATTAACATATGTCTATATCATTTAAAGAGTTTTATAACTCACTTTCTTCATAAATATATTTTTAAAATTCACTGATTCTAAAGTTTAGGAACTTTATCAATGCCTACTTATTTTCCATATTTTAGGGAATTATTTAGTTCTATGACCATACCTCCTACTCTATAAAAATATTGGTATATATAGAAATGTATCTGCAATGATATTGTTAAACAAAAAAATGGCAGGATATTATTCACTAGGAAATTGTGTATTGGGCAATTACTAGAATGTCAAATTTTTAAGTATACAATTAATCCATTTAATATGAATTTAATTTAATCATGAGGCCTAGGTTTTTAATTCCTTGCTCCCAATTACCTCACTGAGTTTTTGTTTGCCATATATATAACTCCTTTAGATTGTAATGTTAATTTTTACCTTAAACAAATCAAAGCTGTAGGCACATATTATTTTTTCTAATCATTGCCTGATTTGGATAGTTATGTTATCCACTTTTTAAATAAATAGAAACATTCAAGAAGACTGAGTTACATACTCAAGAAGACTGACATGGCTCTCATCACTGAACAAATATTTCTTCATCCTTCAAATAAATAAATAAACACATGATGGTTCAGGATTTTCAGCTAGACAGTGGAAGAGATAACTGTAATGAAATGTTACTTGCCAATGCTGACATTGAATTTTGTTATCCATTTCTCCCCTTCATTTGCTCAAGGAAGCCTGTTTTGTGCCTGATCCATTCAGACCAGGCAAGGTAAGGAGAGAAAATGTATGGGAATAATAATGTTTCCTCCACCCAACCCACTAGGCCGGCAGTTAACCATCTTCAACACCCAGGCGCAAATAGCCATTGGCGGAAAGGATAAAGGACGCCTCTTCCAAGGTCAACTCTCTGGGCTCTATTATGATGGTTTGAAAGTACTGAATATGGCAGCTGAGAACAACCCTAATATTAAAATCAATGGAAGTGTCCGACTGGTGGGAGAAGTCCCATCCATCTTGGGAACAACCCAGACGACCTCCATGCCACCGGAAATGTCTACCACAGTCATGGAAACCACCACCACAATGGCTACTACCACAACCCGCAAGAATCGCTCCACAGCCAGCATTCAGGTAAGCCTTCTTCCAGGTATTAGTTACTTCTGTACCTTTGCCTTTAAGACCTTACTATTGTGGTCCATTTTCTATATAGTTAAAGATATTGAGTTGCTATGTTATAAGAAAGATGCCTGCAGATGCTCATAATAATAAGATCCAGTAGTAGAACAAGATGAAGTCACTGGTAAAGAAGTTATAAAAGTCTTTAGGCACTCCTAGGTTATTATTCCTATCGTATTTTTCACTGAAATGGTAAAGCTGTTATTCAAAATGAGCAATGGACTACACTTTTAGTATGAAATACTCCCTCCTCTCATTTTATTACCTTTTCTTTTCAAATAGCACAAAGGGAAAAAGGCAAAAGGAAAATTTGTGATCATAGAAAACACTATATCCTAGCTCAATTCTGTTCACATCCTCCAGATGGCTTTGCTGGAACGTGAATTGTTCATTATTGGGGCCAATGGGTACCATTAAATCAAGGGCAATTGGAGCTAGAAGTTCAACTAATCCTCATAATATGCAGTCTTTGTGTTTGATATTAAGTCTTGATTAATTACTTGTCATTTTTCGGTCCATTTTGTTTCCTTTGTATTTAACCAAGATACTAATTACATTAGAAAATGTGAAGGTTTGAATTTAGCTAGGCAGGAAGCCCTTAGTTTTGTGGTAAGGATTTTGTTTTTTTCACTTTAAAGTAATTATATCCAAGCTAAAGCTTAATACTTTGCTGACTCCCTTGGCATTTCATAAATCTAGTTAGTAGGGGGTAGGAGGTTAATCGAGTTATTAGCTTTAAATGCTCTGGCATAAAATAAGACATTCCAATTACTAGTGGTGAAATCACCCTTAGCCTAGTTAGTGTTCATAGAAAATGTAGTAGATCCGTACTTGTCCCTTCTGTTTCTCAGTTTTAAGACAGAATCCAGGAGTCCAACTGAGTCTTTGACACCACCCTTCCATTGACTCTGATGGACATTGTCAACTTCGTGTTAACCATCAATTAAACTTCCAGTTTTCTGAATTAAGTATATGTGAGCTGAGTAGAGATCAGCATGTTCTCTTCCCTTTTCCTTTTCTCTGGCAGAAATTCAGACAGCTTCTTACCTGACTCCATAGGAACAATTTTTGAAGCTGTACATGCTGATGATGTTACCAGTCAATTTTATGTGTTTTCCAAAGGTTAAGAGTAGCAGTCTTATAATCACACGTGCTGTTGCATGCATACCTATGCACATACTGGAAAGAGAAAAATACTGCTTCTCTGCCAATATTAAAGCAATAACTCCTGACACCTCACTCCACTCACTGAAAAGAAGATAAAAGGCAATATATATTTCTATTATGACTCTCTATAGCTCAAGAGTAGATCTGTTTATTGTTGGTGAAAGGATAGTTCTGTTTGCACAGGACTTGGCAGACTTGTTTTGCTTCTGTCAGAATATATTCTGCTAACTCTGTGGGAAGCAGAGGAGCAAATGGCTTTTTCTTCGTAGGAATGGCTGATCCTGTAGTCCTTTTTAAGGCCAAATTTTCACTGACCGCAGGAGGATTTAATCTTACACAGGGATTCAGGGACTAAGCCATGGTAATTGTCGGTTTTTGGCCTTCCCTCCTGTGGCAAATACATAAATGGGAGCAGATTGGATGAGTCCCTAAACTCTTTCTACAAACTAAGAAAGTCAAGGATTTGGATAAAGAGTGGATTTCAAAGTGCAGAACTTTTGCAAGTAACCTGGGGTCTCTTGGAGAAGGTGGACATCTGGAAGAGCCCCCCTGGACAGCTTTTCTCTGGTGTGTGTCTCTTTTCCTTAGAGTCCAGTAACAATTGAGCTGCATTTACATGCCTTTCCTTTTACTTCTACCGAGGCCATAAAAGTGTATTATAAATCTATTGACACTCTGTTTTTAAGTGTGTGTAAACACATATCCTTGGAGGAAAGCCAATAGCCTTGCAGCATTGATTAGACTCGGGTGAGGGTGAGGGACAAAAGAACTCTGGGTTTTTTTTGTTTTGTTTTGTTTTGTTTTTTAAGACAAACTAGTGGAAATAATGCTGAGCCAAGGGTTTGGGACTCTTTTGCTCTTGCCAAGGAACCATAAGAACTCAACCATGTGCTGCACAAAAACTTGAAAACCTTGAATCTAAGCCTATTCTGGCCTTAAGCATGTTCTATAGATCACATCAAGCCTATGTTGGGACTCAGTACACAACAATCAATCACGGTCACTTAACTAATATGAGAATGAATTAGATTGGAATCAATCCAGAGTTTAGGACAATTCCAGGAAGACTCTGGAGACTTTGAGGGAGGAAGGTCAGTTCCAAAAGCTTCAATTGGCCTTTATGATCTAGCTCATTTTCTTGGATGAAGAGGTCACATAAAACTCTGATCTCAGGGAGACACTTCAGAGGCAGGGGGAAAAAAGTAGGGAAGATTGGAATTCATATTCACCAGATCCATCATTCATTTTTCATCTGTGTGAAATCACAGAACATTTTCCAAATGATACTCTATTGTATCCTCTTTTGCTTTGAAAATATTATTAAAGCAAAGTTGTCCTAAAACGAGTCTCTTCCGGAGGGGAAAAAAATAAGCATGTGAGCCTACAAAAAAAAAAAAAAAAAAGTGGCTATTCAAAACCTATTGGTTCCTTCTTAAAGCTAGTACTAAGAAAACCTTATTTGAGGAGTTCATTTCTGGTGGACCTTGCCCATTGTTGATTTCAGATCAAAGGAAACCTGTAAAGTGCTTTCCGTGCTGCTCTTAACTGTGTGAAAACGTAAACAAGTAGTTTTTAAGCTGATAGAGCTCTTCAATGCTCTGGTCTCCCAGAAGTAAATTGGTGCTTTGATCTTTCTGATATTCTAGTTTGCTACAGTCATGAGTGTAGAATTGCTTGTGAATGACACGGACTATGTTAAATTACTCGGGGCTTTAGTGCCCAAGCATCTGATCTTAATCCTATACTAAGAAGGATGCCTCTTGGTGCTCTCAGAAAAAAAAATTTAAAAAATTAAGGTAGACATTGATAAAGAAGGTGTGTGTGTGTGTGTGTGTGTGTGTGTGTGTGTGTGTGTGAGAGAGAGAGAGAGAGAGAGAGAGAGAGAGAGAGAGAGAGAGAGAGAGTTCTCAAGTAAAAGATCTAACACTTAGTACATGTTCAGGAAATAAATACTGAATACACAGAAGTCAAAACAGGTTTATTATCTACCTTATACTCATTTAACAACTGAACAGAGAGTAGCTTGGAGAAAATTTTCCTTCTAGAATAACCAGGGTCCTTGCACATTTTCTCCCCACTGGTTAGGCTATAGCTTTATGATCTAGAGCATTTATGTGGAGCCAGATGGTCTGGTTTTAAAATCTAATTCATTCTCATATTAGTTAAGTGACCTTGAACAAGTCATAGGTTATAGATAACTATTACCAAAAAACACACACACACACACACACACACACACACACAAATTTTCCCATAACTTGGTGGCTTAACACAATAATCAGTCATTAGATCTCACAATTTGGTGGGTCATAAATTTGGCCAAGGTTCAAAGAGGCAACTTCTCTGCCCCTCGAAGCTGACTGGTAGCATTCCATGTCTGCTCTGGTTTGATGAGTCTGGCTTCCCTCATACACCTTGTGCCTGATGAATTAACTGGAAAGACTGGACTTGGCTGGGCTATTTTGCCTCTCCATGTCTTCATGGTCTCTCCTGCAAAGTAATCAATCTTCCTTCAGGAGGCTCAGGGCCCTACAGAGAGGGACAGGAATTAGAAGGTGTTAGTTATTTCTTGCCTGAATCTGGGAAATGTCACAGTGTCACTTGTACCATACTTTATTGGTCTGCTTCCAGGGCTCCTTCAGGTACAGGAAAGGAGATATGAACCCCATGTTTCAACTGGAGGAAAAGCAAGAATTTGCCTTCAACCTAAGTTGACTGCATTATAAAATGAGGAGGGCACAGTGTCTATACCATCTGGTAGTTGTAAGGATAACAAGATGAATAAAAGTAAAATGCTCAATACAAGTATACCATGAAGAGTGAGAGTGTAGATGTTTTAGCCATTCTTATTTTGTTCTATCCTCTACAATTGGTGGTTGAGTCAAACAATAATCTACCTCGGAAATTGGTGCTGCTTCTATTGACAATAGTAGCTATAGTTCAGACTGGAGGCTACAAGGTTTGGGTGACATAAGGATTTGAAGGAGACTCGGGAAAAAATTTAGAGGCTGAAATTAGTCCTGGAAAATCAAAAGTATTTATGATACCAGCAATGGACTTCTCTGACATCTCATTACCCATCTTGAAGTTTTCTTCTATTTTTAAACCAAACTTAGAGTTCTATGGGCCTTAGAATATAATGTTTCATTATGAAATCTATCTATTTGCACATATTTTGGGGATGGCAGAGAAGAGGAATCCAGGTCCCTTTTCATCATGGATTTCATAATCTGTAGAAAGCTAAAGGGCTTAATATTAACCATCAGTATGGGACAGTGACATGAATGGTTATGTATATTGGGAGTGAGAAGTAGCATATGGGATGGTCTTGCCAGATCTCGTGGATAAGGTGGGTATGAACCTGGGCCTTGTAGGATGAATACAACTGGACAGGTAATAAGGGAACAAACTCTAGATTAGCCAAAGATCAGAAGCTACATTATGAAAGTCAGAGAGAATTCCTGGGAAAGAGAGCAATTCTGGTTAGAAATGACAGTGCATAGTTGCAGCGTGTGAGGGACAAGGGGTCAAGCTTTTGAGAGCTTTGGCCTAAATCTCCCCCAAACAGACGAGGACCCAGAGGCCTGAACAGAATGTGATTCCCTATGGGACTTACTGCTGGGGATTCCCAGCAATTTCACAAGCTCATTTGCTACAGCTGACTCAGGTATGAGCCAGCAGCTACAAAGACTTTGATAGAGCAGCTTCTAAAATGGGAAAGTCATTCAGAAGAGAAGAGAAAAAGTGAGAAACAAAAGTCTTTTCCCACTAACTTTCAACCATGACAA